GACTGATTGAGCCACCGAGCGGGATCGTAGTGAATCGACGCAGGTGATAGGTCAATCCTTCTTTTTTCTTTTTCAATTTTTTATCCCCTCCTAATCTCACCGGCTCTTCACTTGCTGCTACCGTTGGCGCCCTCTCGCTGCTTCTATTATCTCCGCNCAGATAACAACTATGAACCTGCACGCACGAAGTGGAATCAGTCTCTGCAGGTCGGGACATCCGAGTCTGCTTACCCTATGCTAACAGAAGAGAAATTTCATTTCTCCTTCATTCCTCTTCACCGGGGATCCAAAGAGCTCACCAGTGTAAGAACCTGAACAATCTGGCAGTTACCATCACGGTTCTAGATACCAACTGAACTGAGCTAAACTGAAGCTTCACGCCTTGGGACCTGACCTGAGCGTAGCCATCATCGGCCCTGGAAAACCTGACCTGATTTGTATGGGAATGGCTAATCAGAATAGGCCCCTTTAAATTTTGAAGTCCTGAAGTGACTCTCGGGTTCAAAGCTGGCACCAAGTGATTCTAGATCCTTGATCGTTTCTTATGTTCCGTTCGTGCAGGACGTAGTCTTGAAGTCTTGTAGTGACTCTCGGGTTCGAGGCTGGTGCCCAATGGCCCCAGATCCTTAACACTCTGTCAATTTCCGTCACGGTCCTGGATGCCAACTGAACTCTCAGGCAAGTCAGTCCGCAGACGGAACCCGCCGTTACCAGGACCCCCAACAGGCGAGGACCTCTCTACGTCCTGTGAATTGAATTTTAACTGAACTGAAAAATCATTGCGTTGAAGATAAAGAAATATCACTCGGTCAGGTAGAAATGAATAATCAACAAAAGGAGAAACACATGGTGTTTTCAAGAGGGTCTCAGCTTTGAAAGCGATGACTGACAGTTATCAGTGTTTGTATGGGCTAATTAGAACAACGTTTCAGCGCCTCAACTGAACAGACGCGTTGTTATCGCTTCTGAAGGACGGTTAGCTGGGCTACGGAAGACAAAGGCTGTGAACGGGATGAAGTCGTTGAAAAAACTGAAAACTAAGGGGGCTACTCAGGTAAATGAGAATGAATCATCCACCAGCCCCTCGACGAGCCCAAAAGATGCACATAAAAGAAAAATGTCTGACAAAGAAATTACATGCAAAGTGCGACTGCTCGACGATGCCCAAATGCCCTTGGAGCTTTCCATAAGAGTAAGAGAAAATGTTTGGTTGTTATTCTCAGAAATCGGACTTAGGGAAACGTGTATTCAGTTACGTATGTGATGCTATTGGAGACTTGGTCGAATGCGATTATTTTGGGCTGCGATACACAGACAAACATGACCAAAGAGTTAGTTCGTTATTCCGTGTTAATATTCTCTTCAGCAATGGTTGGATCTCGATCGTAGCGTTTACAAGCAGATGAAAGGTTGCAAAAACTACAATTTAAGTTTCCGAGTCAAGCATTATCCTGCGGATCCCATAAGTGATCTCAAACAAGATTTGACAAGGTTAGTTCGAAAAAATAGCGGAATCTTTGTTGCGTATTTTTTATTTTTCGTAGCATGAGATTCCTTATCTGACCCCGGAATAAGTGTCAGAGGTCTGTAGGCATCATGCATGCACCAATGAATGCCCTAATATGTATGTTTACAAAATATTTTTATTGTAAGGTTGTGTTTGTCAAATGCACTAGAACACTACCAACTGATCATGAACCTGGAGTAAATGCTTCTTTTCAGATATCTCTTATACCTACAAATCCGTCGGGATTTGGCACAAGGGCGTTTGTTATGCCCCCCTAACATGGTGGGCCGTATTGGAGCCTTGGTGGCACAAGGTTAGTTACCGAGGTTGAAATCACCGTTTTCTTCCGAACAGTAATTGATTACTTTTCCTAAGTTAAACTGGATTTGTCTGTGAGGCTTTTCTACTTCACTCAAAATCCACGAAATACCAATCACCATTTTTGGCATTCACGAGAAGAATAGAAAACATGTCAATATCAGTTTAGTATATCGCTACTTTGATATTGTGTGAAAATCGAGTTGGTGGTTGAGTGAAACTTTGACTTCACTTTTATCTTAATACAATGCTAATAAATTGTTGTTCAGGGTTCGTGATAAATTGGTTTGTGAATTTTTTAATAACTAAAAATTTCCTATTGGGTTATTCGAATGGTTATATCTATGAGAGCGAAAAGAAGTTGCATTTTTAATAGAAGCATTGGGGAGTTGAGCTTGCACATCGAGATTTAAGAGCATCTATCAGTAGCTCTGGTTTTAACGCGTTTACCAAGTATTTTTGACCTTGCGACTATTTATTGGAGAATATCCAATAAGAAAGGAAAGAAAAAATATTATTTATTTTACCGGTTACTTATTTCCTGTTAGCACGATTAATACCCCATTGCCTAAACCTATTACTTCAACAGATGCATTTAGCTTCGTAATGGAGTCGTGGCTTTGTAGCTGATAAAGATGCCTGCGTGCTATCAAAGCGCAGCAGTAGAACTAGGGTCCTGAATGTTTATCTGCCTACATTGGGTATGATTGCGACATATAGTCATCTTTTGCTGCCTACTGCCTTTCCAAGGGTGGTTTACTAGGCTTGCTCTTTGTTGCTGTTTCTGTTTAATTGTGCCATTAATTGTTCCTAAGAGGATTTTTCTAGTTATGGTTACGGTAAAATAAACCCTTATCCAGAAACAAATTTACTGATCCTGTGTATGTCCATAATATTGTCATGATTATTTAAAGTGCTGAACTGCTTAACGATCGAGATTTCGTGCCGTGGTATGTGTCTCGTCACCAAGTTCAAATTAGTCCTTCAAGATTCACAGGAAATGGTTCATGCAATCACCTCTATTTGAATTATTTGGATGAATTTACTAGCTTTGTTTATATCAAAAGTTAAGAAGATAAGATTTGTACTGAGGTTCTACTAACCGGAGCAGACATCACGCTTAAATTTAACGTTCTGACACTGCAAGATATCAACTGTTCACGTTGGTCGATGGCTATTTTCCATTGCTTGACTTGATCATATTTTTCTGTTTCGATTGTGACGTATGATTAATCTTATCTGGAAAACGTAAACCGAAAACATCAAGTTTAATACTCGGTATGCTTAGTTGATT